TTTCCCATCCCCCCCCCCCCCCCCCCCCCCCCCCCCCCCACAAATGAATGAGCAAGTTTTTGGGGTAGTTTTCCATTCTCTGTAAGGAGTGGAGTTCCTTTCCCTCTTTAAAATACCAGTATCTGGTGTATTTTGAATCGCTCTTTCTCCAGAATTCACCCACTAGGGCTTACGTATCAAGTTTTGGGTTTTCATTTCCTCCTGCTACTTTGGGGTTTTGGGTGGCTTTTTTTTCATTTTTTTTGACTGCTTGCATTAGAGATGTCAGAACTCATTTATGATAAAGCTTAAAAAAAGGGGTGGGTCAAGTAATAGTAGAAGGTCCTTCATGTTTTTGTGAAAAAGACAGTATTTTTTGTCACAGAGCTCTTCCGTTTTGTGGCTGCTCTGTTCTTTTTTCTTTTTTTTCTTCCTTAGCAAAAATCTTAATGCTCTTTAAAAAGAATAAAGAGAAAATGGAAATTATATTTTCATATTTTTGGGAAAAGAACATATTAATAGATTGGGCATCTTTTTTTTTACAATTTCTAATATGTTTTAATTTGAGATGGGTTAAGGATTTGATGTGATGAAACGTAACAGTTTTGCCCATGGTACCATGATTATGCAATGTTTACAGGCATATTTGTGCTTTGAGAGCTTACAATTAATTATAGATGTGGATTGATAAGCCATGCTCTTGAGACTTGGATAGGAAATGCAGAAGGAGAACGGGGATCGTAACAGTATTAAGTATGTACTATATTCAGATTAAAATCTAGAAGTTGTTAGAACTTGCCTGAGTCACTACACCTTTTTAATTCTATCTTTTTGTCATCTAAACTTTACACTGCTGAGACTGATGAATAGTATTTTCAGTGAGATATATCAAAACTGCTTTTCCAGCCAGTGCTTAGTAGAGAAGGAGAAGAGGGTCTGTTGTCTTGGGAGTTGTTATGTCAGGCTTTCAGCATCTGGGTTCCCTTCTGGAACAGTCTGGGAAGGGTAGGGTCAGCCAAAAAAATTAATGCATGCAAAATGAAGCACAAGAAGGGACTACATCTTTTGATTTCTGAGGTCCAGAAGTAATTAAAAATAAATAATAAAGAACTGTAAGCATCCTAGAAAACCATGTGTGTGTTTTGTGAATGTACATGTGGGGCTTGCTGACCAGTGGTATTTGGCTCAAAGGGAGCTCAGCTTGGCTACATTGGAATGGTTTGTAACATTGCTAGCAATTGAGTAGAGGTATATTTTAAAAGCACACTGACAGTTAAGCTTGGTTAACTTAATCTGAGCAGCTGGTATCCACTGTGAAACTTGAATTTCATGATTCAATAGATGTTTGGTTTTGTTTGTTTGTTTGTTTTAAGTAATAGTCTGTGCCTGCATAACCTACAGCAGCAATGTTTAAAGGCTTGCTTACGATGTTAGACTATATAGTAGCTGTTTTGGATCAAAAGAATGTTACACAGCTCCTACCCACAAACACAGAAGGTATAGATTGTTCATCTGGTGCTCAATAATTTTTTTTTTCTTCTCTTACTGCATCAAGTTAGTGATGTCCATTAAACCTACTCCTGAAACTATAATTTACCTTAAAATCAAGTGGATAATAATAATCCAGTATGTCACTTCTCACTGACCATCATTGTACACTTAATTCCCCTTCTAGTCTTGTTATAACTGGATAAATATTACTTAGAACAGATTTCAGAAAATGAAAGACTTAACTCAAACAGACAAAACCTATTCCCAGTCTGTATAGTTCACCTTACCCTTTCAGAAAAATTATTTGGAAAAAAAATACACAAGATAGTTCATGCAGAAATAAGTCTCCATAGTTAGGCCAGTGTCTTAAAATTTGTAAACTAAGAGAAACCAACTGACAGTATTAGTATTGGCTAGGCAGCCATGATTCTGTGATTAGAGATGTCATGTCCTTTTGGGAACATCCACTTGAATAATGATTTTTTTTCTTGTGCTTAAAAAGCAGGGGGAGACCAAGAGAAAAAGGTGTAAAGGGAAAGACTGGAATTTGCAGAATCTGAGAATGATTTGGCAGAGGACATCCTGTCAAAATATTCTTCTAATACTCTTCTAAACAATTGACACAATACCTGATAGTGTTAGCCTTGTAATAGATTATTTTGGCAGGTCACTTGGTGTGGGAAAAGAACACTCTGAAGCTCCAGACACTTTGCAGAATTCTTGGCTTTCCTGAAGAGAAAGACAGATATTTGGCAAGGTTTTAAATGCTCTTTGCATGAAGCAGAACAGGCTATATTGCCTGTGGGGCAGAACAGGGAAAATGCAGCAGCATGTTTGAACACTGCCACACTCACCTTCTCTGAATATAGGATGCTGTTTTAAAACATTAGAGCTTTATTACTAACTTTAAAATTTTTACAGTAATTGCACTAATTAATATCTTGTAAATCTTAAGTGTTGTTTAAAAATGGTTTTTGCCATCTATGCAAGAATTTTCAAATGTCAGTCCTTGCTGTAAGCTCCCTCCCCTTTAGTACAGGAATAATTTTTTTTTCTATTCTAATCTAAATTATTTTCTCTCATTAAAGAAGAAGAATTAAAACCCTTTCATTTTCTAAGTGGCCGTTAGCTCAAGATTTATGTTTAGACTGGATGCTTCGTAATAACAGATAAGGAGAGTAGTGTTCTTTAGACTGAAAATTTTATCTTCAGTTTTAAATAAAACTATCTTTGCTGCTGCTTCTCAGCAATTGACTTAAAGAATGGCTCTGGAGCAGTGTATCAAGGACCTGCAAGAAGTTCTGCTGATACCATCTTCACTCTCTCAGACGAGGATTTCATGGACGTGGTACAACAAAAGACCAACCCCCAAAAGGTAAAACCTGTGCATCACAGACATACTCACTTGCATGGGGACATGTTATTTGCCTTAAATCAAGCTCTGGTTCATGACTGTTTGCATTCCGATGTCTGCAACACTGGATGTTTTGACAGTGCAAACCAGAGTCAGATGAGGTATAAGCACATCGTTACCTTATACTGAATTAGTCAGAAGACATGAGGAGGAATTTATGCCATCTTTATCATCTTGAGACAAAGGTACCTGAAATGACATAAAGCCTGGCAGTACAAAATTAGTTGTTTGTTTCCTGGCACTTCATAATATATGATTTCCAAGGTTAGTGTTTGTCAGTTTGATCATTCAGGGTGTTTTGATTGGTCATGTTGCAGGAACTTGGTATTTGTTGCAATATTCTGATTTACTGCTACTATTGCAGCAGAGAGAAGTCTTGGACAAGGTATGCATGTAGATCCATTGAAACTGGTCAAAATTCACCCAAACTAGGTAGATTTTTAAGGGAAAGAAAGATTTAAAAAAGGTATGTAACCTGGTCTGCACTTTTAGCTTCTTGGAGTAATCAACTACTTAAAACCTCTAATTTTACTAATAAAAATGCCTTGTGTAAAAGTAAATTGAACTGTCACAAATTTAATATGTCAGCTTACAGATTAAAGCTTGAGCAAGTGAAGACTTTAATTAAGCTCAGCATATATCAAACAGTTCCTTTTCTTTGATCCCAAGCGGTTGTTGTTGGAGCCTTTGATTGTAAATTGGAGACTGACAATGATGGCAAATGTTTGTTACAAGTGCTACATACCACATGAGTAAAATCCTTTGTGGCCCTCTGTATATAGCAGGCATAAAGCATAAACCAACAAGATGTTGATGTGTAATCTTCAGAATGCTCAAGAACAGTGATTGCAATTCAGGAACATTATCTATTCTTAGGCATTAGTATTTCCTTTGAGTTTCTGTGAAGTTTTTCATTTAAAGAAGCTCAAAGCATCTATTCAAATTCTTTTGTGCTGGCTCTCTCCTTATTTGAATGTATTTCAAGTTAATGGAACTATGCAAAAGCACATTGTTTCAGAACTTTCAAAGAGCTTTCAAATTGCAAAGCCACAGCGAAGGAAAACTAGTTTTAAAAAAATCCTGAACTAGATTGAAACAGGGTATACAGCTCTTTGAAGTAGGGACAATAAAAATGTAATATACCGGCATTTCAGTGAAAATATTGGTTGATCCATGATTCTGCACACACAACAAAATCTTGTTTAGTTCCTGTTTGTTGTAATATGCTATGTATTGCATATGAAATGCCAGTGCATTTCTTTGAAATATCTGTGTATGTATATTATGCAAGTTCCTGTTTGGATTTGTTACGAATTTGAGTGAGTAGCTGACCTTTTCATTAGGCCTTTAATTTTCATTAAATGCCCTTTTCATTCAATTTTCTCATTTCATACAAGGATATGTCGATTTCTATAGCACAGGGAGTGAAGGACTGGGAGCTTTATTTTTGTGCCCTGGTGAAGTTTTGCCATCCGCTTCTGTGAAGAAGTTTGTCTTATACCAGAAGTCCTCTATGCTATATGTAGAAAAGAAATGGAGGCCACTGAAGTTGCTTTGAATTTATTTTTTTTTCCCCTGAGTGATAGACTTGGCCTTGCCTGCACTCTAGATAGAAAACTGTGATTCTGGATGCTACTAAAATTGAACTTGGATGGTTTTCTGTTAATAAACAATAACCAATGGGCATTGCGCACTGAAGGCTTTCTCCTGAGCACTAAACAACCACACTTATCTTTGGCTTCTTGTTTGGTTCTAGCAACTCTTTGGATTGTGGGTGAACAGTTTAATAATTTTTTTTTTTCCCTCCTCTGCTTTTTATAGGCATTCTTTTCTGGTAAACTAAAAGTGAAGGGAAACATCATGCTGAGCCAGAAGTTGGAAATGATCCTGAAAGATTATGCCAAACTCTGAACTGCTTGATCATCTACCACAGCAGTGAAGAACTTCAGAAGATAGAAACTTCAATTAGTTCAGAACCAATGATTGAAACATTTGCAGGCTACTTAACATCAATGTACTAATTCATTATACTGCTAATATACAAGCTGTTTTAATTGCTGTAGACAGAAAATTATGAAATGAATGTAACTGTTATTATTATCCCTTTTTTGTTTCACAGCAGTGGTAGAGAATCATACTTTCCTCATTGCACAACTTTATCTGAATAAAATGTATGTAGTTCTTACGAAGATGCATATATTTCTATATTAATTCTGAAGAAAATTAAACCAATACACCTCTTTGATATCTCCTTCTATGTGTCTGTCAGCCTTCATGTGTATTGTCTTAGATAGACTGTCTAATTTCTATGAATCTAGCTGGTTTATTATTAAAATTAATTTTTTTTTTTTGTCTTAAGTTCTCATGATCCCGTTAAAACAACTGGAAGATGGAAGTCAGTTCCATTTATTTACATCTTGTCATTATGGTTTTTTTTTCCGCACAGGAAAAAACTACTCTTGAACTTTAGCTCTGCCCACCTTATTTAGGCAGTCATTTTTACTCTTACAAAGTTACTCTTACAAATTACATGGAAAGTGGTAAGCATTAATTCTTTAGGGGAAACTCTTTCATCTGAGAGGTATTACACTGCAGCAAAGGCTCTCACTGTAGCCAAATTGTTCTTCATGTAGATTCATTCTCATGAGGGTCAGCATCATGGCAGCAGGGAAAGATACAAGAGTGAATTCTTCATTTTGTACCTATGGCCAGAACTGAGATGGCAGCTGTGGCCCTATGTTTTCCTGAAGAAAGTACGCTCTTAATCACTGATCGTCACATGAACACCTAGAAATTTGATTTCACCAATGTGATCAACATTTCATGTGCTCAGTATCTTTTTTTCTCATTCAGACTTGTTCTATGTTGATACTTTTTGAAGAATACAGGCCATCTAAGGCTTGTCTCCTTGGTCAGAATGAGAAAATAATTTTGCTTTATCTTAAAGGATGGAATTTTTTTTTTCCCCCCCCAAAACTGGGAGGTACATCACTGCTGTGACTGTGTGAGTAGACTGTAGCCATTAAAGAGCCTTTTGGGGGCTGCAGATGAGTTTGACACTTTGAGGATAAATTCTACATGTTGTAATACTGAGTCAAATTCTCCACAAATTTATTTCTTCACAGCTGTACTATCAGCCATGCTTTGATTCAGGCGGAGAAATACGAATCTGAAGTATGTCAACAAGTATCTCACATAAATTACATCATGAATAAATGGGAAACAGAGTAAGTGTGATGTTCACCACCTCAAAGAGGCCATCCAATAGAAATGACTGAAGAAATGTCCTTTAACCAATTAAAATTTATTTTTTTCACAGTGGTCATTTCTGTATAAGTAGGACCTAATCATTGCCTGTACTGCCCAGCTTCTATTTACCAAGCAACTTTGTGACACATAGATAAAGGTGTCTTCTATTACTTTCTCTTAAGAAATTGTATGAGAAAGACTGATTGCAGCTTTGTATGTTTATGCATGCACATGCTACACCAAAAAAAATCAGTTTTCTACATAGATCTTTCCTGTCTATAAATCTATATATAATGCCATGAAAATGTTTATTGAGAAAAAGGAACTGATGAACTAACTTTGAGTCTAGGAAAGCAATTATCACTACATCCATTTAAGAATATGGTATTTACTGTAGGTCACATGGTCTTGAAAATTCACAACAGGTGTTCTTTTTTCTCAGCCCCATAGATTGTCTGAAACCTTACAGCACTGCTCTACAAGGAGGGAACAGACTGCTAATAGGCTTTTTTTTTCCTCCCCTTTGGAAGCAGGAAGTAAAAATACTAAGGCAACGGAAGCTGGTACTGTTGAAACCTGTTGTGATTTAACAGGTTGGAGTCAGTCTACTAAAGAACATCAGTTCACTAAATGTGTTGGGTGAGGATGAAAGGAATAACCCAAGAACCATATCAATTATAGGTACTCTTGTGATGATTTCTATCCTGCATAGTTTCAGTTGGACACAAAATCCACGTGCTTCAGTTGTATCCCCAATACTGGCCTTAATTAAAAACACAAAAGATACACCCCAAAGTTACACAGGTGTTTGAGATATACATCCTAGACTTTAGCCTGACTTCAGCTTCTTTCTGCACCATGACTTGGTCATAGGTGTTAATCTTGGGTGGAACAGAAAGTCCTCCCTACTTTACTGCAGAAGGCTCTTCCTTTTCCTCTCCTTACCAAGGCTAATTGAGCACACCTCTCAGTATTGTGGTAGACTTTTTTCTAGGAGCACAATTCAGGTGTTTAATTCTTTCATCTGCTTTGTGGCCTGAATAGCCGTTATTAATGATTTTGGCATGTTGGTTTCATCTCTACCCCAATGTATTTACCTTCAGAATGTTCTAGTTAGCTCATGCTAACTAGTAGCTTAACCTGTAACTGTTGAGGGTAAGGTCACTTTGCGATGTTGAATATATACATGAAGTGATTTGGAGATTTTGGTTTTTGTTTTCTTCCTACTGCATGAAAACCTTCTGTTCGTGGTTGCTAGCTTTTAAGAGTAGTATTCTCAGAAACAAGTAATAAACCCAAGTATCTTTAAGAGAACTTGTGCAAGGGAATGTTAGCCAGTTTGGTATGTGGTTGTTTCAGTCTGAATGATTCTCATCTGCTTTCATCTAGAACAGTGTCATTCTGTTTTGGAGGTGCATGTTTCAAACCTGTCCATACCTCTTTCATCTTGAGCATGTTTGGGGACCTCTCTTGTTAACCAGCAGCAACAGTACCAGTATAGTGGCGCATCCATTTCCACACAGGACCTAGAGACATGCAACAGCAACACACCACATTCTTTTTTTCAGGGTAGCTGCTTCTTTGAATGTTTTTTCTTTACTAGGGATAAGCACCATTACGTTGGATTGCGAAGCCCCACTTATTTGCCAAACATCTCAGATAGCTCTTTAGTGATACTGCTAAATTCTCTAGCAAATAAGGAGGCTTTTACAAGCATCTTAGCAGTAAAATTCTTAATGGTGCATATGCTCCATTTAATGTGGAGGAGAGCTATATCGTCTGCTGTTTATTGCAATGTGTGCTTTATAGTGTTTTGATCAATTCTGTATACATGTAAATAAGGTGCTGTCTGGACATCAGCGTACAGTCTGGACATCAGACTTTGTAGCAGTTGGTGGTAAGAATTCAGTTGTTTGTCTTTCTGGAATAATTGAGTTAGTGCTTGTCCTGGTTTCAGCCTGGATAGAGTTGATTTTCTTCCTAGCAGCTGGTTCGGTGCTGTGTTTTGGATTTAGGGTGAGAACAATGTTGATAACACACCAATGTTGTAGTTGTTGCTGAGTAGTGTTTACACTAGTCAAGGACTTTTCAGCTTCCCATGCTCGACCGACTGAGGAGGCTGGAGGTGCACAAGAAGCTGGGAGGGGGC